CTCGCGCATTGAAAATTTATTGTGTTTGTAAATTATTATTATAAATTAAATAGTGTTTTTTTTTCGGTACTTAAAGTAAAACAGATCTATGCAGACTTTGAGGAAGAAAGAAATAAGGCGGATGCAAAAGGTGCAATTAAAATATATCTTTAGATGGAATTACTCTCTCTTTGCATTAAAATAAGAAAAAACTTTTACGGCCAAATATCTAAGAGAAAGTAATTTATAAATTCTAATTTCAATATTTATAAGAGTAAATTATTACTTGTTAATTGTTTTCTGGATACATTAAAAAAGGAATTTCTTAATATTAAATACATAATTAACGAAACTAGAAATAAAAAAGGAAATAAAATTGCTAAGCGAATGACTTAGATCCGATGATCGACGAATTTATTAGCCAATCTTCAGTAACAATGTAAAAAGGATCCATTCGATATATGTAGACTAAAATTTTGATGTCAGTTGATTTTACGCGAAAATTTTCTCGGCGAAAAATCGTGCGGTGCGAGTCTTTACAGAAAAACAGAGGAAAACAAGACAAAAGCGGACAACAGACGTGATCGAGATTTCACGACATGCATCCGAGAACAATCCACGACGCGCGTGTAATGGCGCCTTTACATTTACCTTATCGCGGACATCTCTCGCGATGTTTTTCATCTTCGAAATAAAAATCGGCAGGATACTGAGCGAAGAGTCGCGAATTCAGCCTCTGCTTTTTAGCCAAAATACAAACTGTTACCGGCGCGCGTAATCCCGGTCAAATCGGATACTCGCTATATTACAACGATATTGTTTTTTTTTTTTTTTTTTCGCAATCACGAGCCGATTTATAGCGGGAAAATGGAGAATTGTGCGCGTTCGAATACTTTTCTTATCCTCCTGGAAAATACGCGGTGATATCTCGCGAGAATGAGTGCGATAACGCAGTGCTGCCCGAAAGATAGACGGAAGTATCATCTTCCTGCGCATTTCCGCTTCCTTGGATCTGTTCGTGTACCATCGCTGCGAAATATTGCCGTGTATTTCACACGAATCTCCTGTACAGATTTTTCCCAAAAGGGAGAAGGGGGATCGGTAGCGGGACCTTCGATTCCGAAGAAGTAGAAGTAGTCGATTTCCCGAGAATTTCATTTGCTCTTCGCTTCAATTCATCGAGAAGCGATATTTCGTCACATTTCGTTATCATTCTATTATCTACTCTTCAATTTTTTTCCAACCTTTCTCTTCATTTTTACTAATATAATATCGATTAATTATGTAGAAGATTCTCGTCCTTTCTTGCGATTACATCTATGAATGTTATAATCATCATAACAATAATCGACGAATAACGATCGAACGCTCGAAGATACAAGCCATCGGAAAATCAGATATGACGACAAAAACTGGGCCTCGCTATATCCGCGTTTTCCCCTTTTCCCGAGAGATAATCGCGTGTATATGTTTACACGCGTGCATCGAAACACTGCTGCTTATTTAATAATCAGGGGCGTAGCTAATAGATTTCGAAGGAGAGCTAGAAGGAGAAAATTCACGGCAATCTCTCTCTCGTGAAATAAATATACATGAAAGAGTCTCTCGAAGAGACCCAGAATAGCATCGCTTCATTCAGCTATCCTATCGCTACGCCCCCGTTATTGAGAGATATATTATGTATACTATTTAGCATGTATGTGCGTGTGTTTGTGTACGAATACACATGTACGCACATATACTATTCGGCAACACTCGGCCATCGTTATACCGTTCACTTACATTTCGCTCACAGCGCTCAAGCATATTTTTTTCTCTTTTTTTTCGGCTAACTCTGACCTTCTCGCGTGCTTCTTTGGTTCTCTTCCGCTCTCTTTCTTCAGCTTCTTCGGGCTTCGCCATTGCTGTGTCTGCATATTATACTACTTTCTCTTTCACACTGCGTAACTGATACTAATTGTTACGATACTTACTTTCCGCCCTTCTTGTATTTCTCTCTTTCTCTATCTCGCCCTTTTTCCGGTTTCCTTTGAATCGTTGTCATCCCTTACTCTCCTTCTCTCCGCATCTTCGAGATTTTTACTCGAACTCCCTCAGGCTTCGTTCGCATCTCACGATTTCTCGCGCATTGAAAATTTATTGTGTTTGTAAATTATTATTATAAATTAAATAGTGTTTTTTTTTTCGGTACTTAAAGTAAAACAGATCTATGCAGACTTTGAGGAAGAAAGAAATAAGGCGGATGCAAAAGGTGCAATTAAAATATATCTTTAGATGGAGTTACTCTCTCTTTGCATTAAAATAAGAAAAAACTTTTACGGCCAAATATCTAAGAGAAAGTAATTTATAAATTCTAATTTCAATATTTATAAGAGTAAATTATTACTTGTTAATTGTTTTCTGGATACATTAAAAAAGGAATTTCTTAATATTAAATACATAATTAACGAAACTAGAAATAAAAAAGGAAATAAAATTGCTAAGCGAATGACTTAGATCCGATGATCGACGAATTTATTAGCCAATCTTCAGTAACAATGTAAAAAGGATCCATTCGATATATGTAGACTAAAATTTTGATGTCAGTTGATTTTACGCGAAAATTTTCTCGGCGAAAAATCGTGCGGTGCGAGTCTTTACAGAAAAACAGAGGAAAACAAGACAAAAGCGGACAACAGACGTGATCGAGATTTCACGACATGCATCCGAGAACAATCCACGACGCGCGTGTAATGGCGCCTTTACATTTACCTTATCGCGGACATCTCTCGCGATGTTTTTCATCTTCGAAATAAAAATCGGCAGGATACTGAGCGAAGAGTCGCGAATTCAGCCTCTGCTTTTTAGCCAAAATACAAACTGTTACCGGCGCGCGTAATCCCGGTCAAATCGGATACTCGCTATATTACAACGATATTGTTTTTTTTTTTTTTTTTTTTTTTTGTTTCGGGGTGGAAGTTGATTTTGTTTGATAC